TATACGTTTGTGCGTTCATGTCTTTCGGGTGCAAGATTATGTATGAATTATTGTTGTGAACTCATCGATTATCCGTTCTATAAAAGTTATTATTTAAAGTGCGCGATCAACGTGCATTTCGACTCAGATCCAAATGAATACCTAATTTCAGTATGCAGTCTGGTTGCACTTCACCGCTATAGTAATCTGCCGAAAACGGGTACGTTGCCTCAATGGAAGAGGTTGGAGATGAAGAGGCGCATTTCTTGAAGAAGTAATTTTTTATTTATCTTCGGCAAAATATCCATCAACAAAAATTGATTCGTCATGCGGAACTGATTTGTCCATCCCCGATACGGTGTCAGCTAATCAAGCACGCCGTCAGTTTCTGGGTGATATAGTGAAATAAATGATTTATTGCTTTGTTATAAGATCAACTGGTCAGTATTGCAGAAAGACGAAAAACGTCGAGTTGGATGTACACGGTACGGAGACAGCTGTGATAGTTCGCTATGAAATGGTGCTTTCTTCTGCTTTGGCGTCGCACTCGAAACACTATCAAAAAATGTTCGTTCTCTTGAAATGTGCACCAAATTAGCTATCAACTGCACATGAATACACCAAAATATTTACCGATTCGTGCACACACTAACCTTTTCATTGAAATGCACAAAACGAACAGTTCAGAGAGTTGTGGGTATAGATGGCACATCTTGAATCTATCATTGTTAGTTGAATAAGTTGAGTATTTCAGAATCCAGTTGAAGGACTTAAGTGAGACGGTGGATGTGAACGCACTGGCACGTTACATATTGCAGCGATGCCCTTTGATTGCAGAGTCTCGTATTGTTGAACTCGAGCAAATACTTTACTATCTGCAGAAACGACAGCAATTGAGCAATTCTGGTTCGCTTTATGTGATCTTGTTTGCACTGTCTGACATCCAGATCAAAATCGTGGCCAGAGATCTGGATTCATAGAGGCTTAAAATAGGTATAAGACTGGAACAGGTAATGTTAGGGTTGACGGGTATATCTGGGATTGACATGGACGATTTGTTGATGAAGATGAGTGATTCAGGTGATGCATCATCAATAATACAGGCGACACCGTTTGAAAATGTTTCATCGATGAGAGCAAGTCTTGCAAGCATTGATGTGAGTTTGTTTTGAGTTGAAGCAATTTTTGGAATAAATCATTTGAAATCACTTATAAATTTTGATTTGATTGAGGAATAATTGCGATCTTTTCAATCGTGTTCTCAATTGGAAGTCTTGTTGATAATTGTGCATTTGGCAGTTCTAAGCCCATGAGATTCGATGCAAAAATGGAGACTTATGATGTATCATTGAAGGAGTACATTGAGATGTTATATGAGGAAACTGCCGAAAAGACGCGAGGTGCAGCTCTAGTACTGCAGTTATGCACAAACACTGCCAATATTCAACAGCTGATTGAAAATGGTATCGATAACGATTTTATTTCGCGGATGATAATCTCTGCATAGATTGATTCTCGGCTATCTATATATGGCTTTGTTTCCATTCGAACTGAAATTTTGTTTCCAAAAGAAAGAAGTTTTGTCTATTGCAGAGACTCTAATTGTTGCGTTGGCACGTGTGCTTCGTGATGACTGGAAGAAGAGTTTTGAGTTGGCCACAAAAATAGTCTCCATATTTTGCGTATTCTCATCGTATACTCAATTCCAATCGATCATTGCGCATCATAAGGTAACTGAACTGTTGATTATAGTTTCAGTGTTGCAACATTAATGTTTCTTCATTCAGATGGGTGCGTTATGCATGCAAATAATCGAATACGAGCTGAAACGTTCGGCAGCGTGGTCTCAAGAGGCGCGATCTGCTGATCAGAAGGCAGCTCGTAAACTGCATTTGGCCATCAGAAAACAACAACAACTCATTGCTGGTCAGTGTTCGTTTAACCCTTAAACTAACGTGATGAAAAAAGGCAATGCTTTGTTGTATGGAAATATTTTAGTGTGTGTGAATTTGCTGATGAATCTGGCGGATGACATAAAGGTGGAATTGAAAATGGTGAATCGTGACATTGTGATGTTGATATCGAAATGTATCTGCGACAAGGAGACGAATAGCGATTTGTTGATTGCTGCCGTGCAGTTTCTGTTGAAATTGAGCATTTTCGCTGATAATCATGATGCGTTGGTTGGTATTGTTCTTTATAATTGATCGTTTTGATGTTGATTCCTTCTGAATAGGATGTTTCCGATTCACTCTAGGTGGCTATTCACTTTCATAAGTTCAAGATTCATAATCGATCATTAAGTATAATGATTCACCTTTGAGGTGAATGGTCGTTGCGTCGAGAGTCTGTCAGCGCTGTTCCCGATCGAAAATGCAGTTTTACGTCATAATGTCATTCGACTTTTATTCAATCTTTCTTTCGACGTTTCGTTGCGAAATCAAATGGTATCCGCTGGTCTTGTTTCACATATCGCAGCGCTTATTGATGGTATCTCTTTGAATTCTGTTGTTTCTGTTTGATAGTGGTTATAATAACAATGAAGAAGAAGAAATTTCAGCAGATGAATGTGCTCTGAATTTGATGTATCAGTTGAGTATAAATGATGATGCGAAAGCAATGATCACCTTCACTGACACCATTCAAACGGTACGTTCATTATTGCTTCTTTGAATGGTGATAAAAGTAATAAATTTAAGTTGATCGATGCTGTGTTGAACAACGTGGATGCATCAACAGATACAATGAAGGCATTGTTGGTGAATATAGCGATTGAAAAGCGAAATGCGCAATTGATTTGTGGCATCGATGGCGCAGGGCTTGATAAGATCATATCGTTATCGGTTTCGACGAAGGATCAGCTGTTGATGAAGGTCGTCAGGAATATTGCTACACACACCGGAATATCGCAGTCCATGTTCTCGGTAGTTGTTTGGCTTGTTGGATGGCTTGTTTGTTTGGTGAACATGTTTAAGCAGTATTGGCATATTGCAGAAATGGTCGAAAAAATTATTGGAGATAGCGATCAGCGAGGACGAACAGTTAGCGGGACGTACTCAACGGGTAGAGTCGACGACGAGTGATAGTAGTCATAGCTGTTGGTTCGCGATCGAGTGTTTAGGATGTGTGAATCAATTGAGTGCACTTGACTGGGCTTCATTGGCTAACGAGTTGTCTTTGGTGGCATGGATACAGAGGAAAATAGCGTTGCACACTCGAGGACGTGGCTCGAATGACCTGATTTTACAGGTGATTCGTAATAATAGTTTTTTGAAAGATTTTTTGAGGAAGATTCTAAGTGAAGTCAGAGAATTTTGAAAACATTCTCGAAATAGCGTATATGGGATGTGAAATGGATATTTTATAGGTAGTGATATTATGTGGAACAATGGCTCGCCAACTTGAGGCAGCACGTTTGCTAATACCTGTTACTGATCAATTGGTGGAACTCTTATCAGGTATGATCAGGAGTTTGTAAGGTCAATGAGTAATTGTACAGTAATAATTCAGCTCAACAAGAAGACGACGAGATGGTCGTTCAAGTGATATACGTGTTCTATGCACTGATCAGTCACGAACAGCTCAGTGAGAGTATTATGGGTGGAAGTGCGCATATCGGAGCGTATCTGATTGATTTGATGCACGATCGGAACGCACCTATCAGAGCGATTTGCGACAGGGCGTTGTCGTTGATTGCGGTGAGATTCATTCCATCGGCAGGAATAATTTAGTTTTGCAAATGTTGTGCTTTCAGGAACGCAGTGAGGAGTGGTCACGTAAAATGGATGTGGAACGTTTCCGATGGCATAACGCGCAGTGGTTAGAGATGGTGTCTGGCACAGAGCTTGATGCTCCGACTGGGAACTTGTTGTCTGCGGGCGTTGACTCGGTGATGTCCGACTCACCGGACATATTCAACGAGGTGTTCGGTGCCGAGGATATCCTCGATGATACGGCCGTACTCACATAAAAGCATCACTTCTTTTTTGTGTAATAATTATGTTCCGCTCTCGATATTTCGTTGCTTTTTTGAAATATAATCTTGTTTCAATATGTGCTTCGATAAGTGTTCACCACTGTACAATTTGCTTTTACGTTTTCGCAGCATTACCGAATCTGATGCAATTTTTCGTGTCTCATCTGATGAATATCTGTGCTCGATGAATGGATCTCGTTATTTTTGTCTATCCGATCCGAAAAAATACATTTTGATGCGTACATTATCGTTGATATTGTTCTTAATGAATGTTATTTCATAGTTTTTCTTTCGATCCATAACGTGATTTTCATTCATAATTTTTATGTATACTCTCATATTTTATTCAAGTGCTGAATAAAAGAGTTCTCCTTGTAATGTTCACCCGTTGTCTCATTTCCCAAAATCAATGTTTCTAATCAACAATCCACAAAAAATATCTCATGATTCTGGTTTTGAGAATGAATATTCCATCTGTCATCGTCATTTCAAAATATTCATCTGATAATTGTGTAGAAGTAAGAATGATAAGTTTTTTCCTTGTCACTAATAAACTTCCTCTACTCAGGCATAAATGAACCACTCTCATGCCTAACTCAGGAAGCTGATGTTTCGGAAAAATAATGTGACTACTTCAGGGTTGATAGATAGAAATGGTAGGCTTGTCAATAGAGTGGTCGAACACTAATATACGTCAAGCTTGTGCGTGCTCATGCGTGTGCGGTGTTTGCACGGTGCTCTTGATCGGAATCGTGTCCATAACCCGCTCGTTGGTGCTCACCTCGGCCGCGTGGCTGTCCGTCTTCTCGTTGTTCTCGCTGATCTCGACCGTGATCGCACTGTCTGTAACGCACAAACCTTCTGCGAGTTATTCGTTTGGCTTCGCCCGAGCACCGGTTTTGGCAGTGTTCTCGACAACGGTTGGTTGGTGATTTGTTGAGACTGACATGAGAGCATGTCGCTTGCAGGTATTGGCCACTTTGTCGTCGATATTCCTGGTGAAAGAGAGTGTCGAGCATTTACTCGAGGCTGACTCGCATTCGCATTCGATCCCGCATAAATTCTACATGATCGGTGCATTCGCTGCGTCGTTATCGCTCGAAATCGCAGCTTACGCAGTCAAAAATCAGCCATTTCAACACGTACTCACCGCATCCAGCAGTTCCTCTCTGCAGGTGATCATTAGGCGATTTTCGGCGTTTATTTTCTAATAACACTATTATGTATCGAAACACAAAGCATTCATAAGATACAAACACAAAAACGGAGGAGATCCTCCAAATGAGATATACGAAGGTTAAGTTTCATCATCCGAATCGATAGTGCATGATATCCGTGTACATCTTATACATATACAGCTCAAGTACAGATTTAAAAGTTGATTTCACATATCGCTTTGGTGTCCCTTACGAATCGTCTCTCTCGCGCTCTGTCGCGATAATGATCGATGCAGACTGCATTGCTCAAGTTCGCATCCAACTAGAATCTGAGGCTGAAAACATGAATGTCAAAAAGAGCTAATATCCTGGAATCCGTAAAGTATTCCTTATATTCCAGGAACACTTTGCGGATGTGTCGCATGCAATCTGCTACGTTCTACCAGGCCTCAGTGTGTTGCTGTTACCAAGGCTGAACGCAATGTCCATCCTGGCATTCCTGACCACGTGTGCTTGTTTTGCAACTCATTGGTATGCTGAATGCAATTGTTCGTGTAACGCTGACTGAGCACTGCCCGTTTGCAGGTTCATCGCAGAGTTGTGGTGGATCGATGCCGTATCTGCGCTGGTGTTGTCGTTGTGTGTATTCGCTACAATGTGGCCACTATCTACTTATACTGGTANGGTAGAATACTTCTGCAGACCTCACCTCCACACGTGCTGAATCAGTTAGATCGGTGAGTGCATTAACTGACAAATTGCTTGGAGGTCAGTTCCGTAAATTTGAGGCTTGCTTTCGGACTGAGCGCTTCTAGAAATCAATCAAATACGTTAGAAATCGTTGTTCTGTGAATATGAGTGAGTTTTGTGAAATTTATATGGAGTATGGTGCTGAGAGATATAATCACTGAAATAATGTGGCAATAATAATCACAGGCTAAAACAGTGTGCACGGAAACGCGAGCCAAGTGGCCAGCAACGTTACAAACGTTTGATAGCCTGCTTGCCAGTCCAGGTAATAATCAGTGAAAGAATTTCAGATGTATATCGGAGGCATCGACAGTTGAAGGAGTTCTCGAACTGCGCTCGGCACATTTCTGGCAGTTGGATTTCAGTTCGATGGCTGGAACGGTTGATGTGCGAGTGAGGCGAGACGCTGACGAGCAGAGGGTGCTGGCCGCGGTCACTGAGAAGTTATCTGCGGTCGTTTCATTGCTTACGGTTCAGGTAGATACTAGTGTAGGGGTTGTGCCCTGATCTGTAAGATGCTGTCTGCAATGAATACGTTTTAGGTGGTGAAAGATGCGACAGCATCGTGGCACGCTCTCAACAAGACACCATCAGGAACAGGTTTGGCAGGAGGTTACTACCCAGCGTCGATCTCGGCTCAACAAGCCAACATCCAGCACTCATCATCACAACCGAACTTCGGTTACATCAATCAATCCACTGATAACAGCAATACTCATTTGGATTTAGGTGCAAGTCATGGGCATTCTCACGATGCGCACGTCATACATCATTAATTTAACTCTTTTGACATTATGCTACCACTATCGTTACCGATTGATTCAATTCGAAACACAGTCTGAAGAGAACCGAAAATTCAAAGTTTGAGGTCATGTGAATAACGGACAAATAAAGTCTTATCTGCCGAATTATTGTCATCAATAATGACAAGACGTTGAAGTCAGTAATCCTCAAGACAGCGTTATTTATGACTGATGAATTGTGTTAATACATCTTTGAGGGAAATAATACTCCTGTTTCGTTGTCCACATATCAGTTTTCGATAGTAAATCGAACTGATCAATCTGTTCGATTGTTTTGTCTTACGTATCATCGCCTTTGTGAGCATTGTTTTCGTTTTGCATAATTAATGAAATAAGTTGTGT